ATAATCATATATAATCACCATATAATCACCATATAACCACCATATAATCACCATGATAATCGCCATGATAATCACCATGATAATCACCATGATAAACACCATGATGGCAGCTTGAAGGATGATTTTCCCCCTATCCAGCTGCCAGGAGGAGTTTCGAGAGCGAAAGCAAGAGCTGGATCGGAACCTGGAACGTGCTGGAGCCTGAGAGCGAGCTCGGTGCGACCTGGGTCGACATCAAGTGACCACAATGGGCTGAAGATATCGTGGATGGAAGAAATCCTGCACCAGTTGATAGGTTGTTTTTTCCCATTATTTATAGGGTTTCAGACATCCAACGTGGTGCAGGATTTCTTCCATCCACAGTATGGTAAAAATTGTTAAAATAGAATATGTCATGGGAATGATTTATGATATAAGCAACATCATGGAGAGTCTCATGAAAAAAACAACTATTATCACCGCAAAGTGGCGAGAATTAAGGCTAAACATCATTGTTTGATGTTTTGCGGTGTCCCAATGTTGATCCATACGTCCTCAGAGAAGACTTGAAAGAATAGACAAAGAACATTTAGTTCCTAGGGCTTCAGAGGGAAATCCGGTTCCGGTGCCCCAGATCTGTCCCCAACCTTTGGAGTTGATGGTTGGTGACTCATCACATTCTGCCACATTCTGCAAAGTATATCCCTAATTCTTTGGGACGCCGAAAAAACATCTAAAAATACATCAAGTGAATGAAACCTGCTTTGGGACATATAACTTATAACTTATATAACATCTAACATAGACCCGGGCAAGCCGGCGGCGGAAGTTTCCCAAGCATAAATGACCTATAGTTCAAAGACACCCTGTCCCGACCGTGTCCTTCCCTCGACAACCGTTTGATTTTTTCAGCGAGAGACAAAGCAAAGTCTTCACACTCCACACTTCACACTGCACTCTTCGCACTCCGAACTTGAAACTTCACACTCCACACTTCACACTTCGCACTTCACACTTCACACTTCTCACTTCCCACTGCTTCCTTCACACTCCAAACCTCACACTTCACACTGCGCGCTTCGCACTCCAAACCTCGACAACCGTTTGATTTTTTCAGCGAGAGACGAAGCAAAGTCTTCACACTCCACACTTCACACTGCACTCTTCGCACTCCGAACTTGAAACTTCACACTCCACACTTCACACTTCACACTTCGCACTTCACACTTCACACTTCCGACCACACACGAGACCGTCTCGCAACCGTCGCACCGCAGAGGTAGATCATCGAGGTTCGGGGACGGACTTTGTATGGAAAAACATAGGGTTTCGTTCATCTCCTATCTCTCAAAAACGAATTTCGTGCGAGACTTCCTCCAAAACTCCATCGGCAACTCCTCCACCAGCACCGATTGCAATCCCATTTACAGTGAGGGAACGATCCTAGAGTTGCAAATCACAATGGAATTGCATCGGCAACTCATCCACCAGCACCACTTGCAACCCCATTTACAATGCGGGAACGATCCTACAGTTGCAAATCACAATGGAATTCTGTCGACCACACATGCACGAAAAGCAGTTGAAACCCCATTTACAATGCGGAACCGATCCGAGATCCGATAATCCGAGATATCCGACCATGATCCGACCACACACGAGACCGTCTCGCACCCGTCGCACCGCAGAGGTAGATCATCGAGGTTCGGGGACGGACTTTGTATGGAAAAACATAGGGTTTCGTGCATCTGCTATCTCTCAAAAACGCATTTCGTGCGAGACTTCCTCAAAACTCCATCGGCAACTCCTCCACCAGCACCACTTGCAATCCCATTTACAGTGAGGGAACGATCCTAGAGTTGCAAATCACAATGGAATTCCATCGGCAACTCATCCACCAGCACCACTTGCAACCCCATTTACAATGCGGGAACGATCCTACAGTTGCAAATCACAATGGAATTCTGTCGACCACACATGCACGAAAAGCAGTTGAAACCCCATTTACAATGCGGAACCGATCCGAGAATGATCCGAGCATGATCCGACCACACACGAGACCGTCTCGCAACCGTCGCACCGCAGAGGTAGATCATCGAGGTTCGGGGACGCACTTTGTATGGAAAAACATAGGGTTTCGTGCATCTGCTATCTCTCAAAAACGCATTTCGTGCGAGACTTCCTCCAAAACTCCATCGGCAACTCCTCCACCAGCACCACTTGCAATCCCATTTACAGTGAGGGAACGATCCTAGAGTTGCAAATCACAATGGAATTGCATCGGCAACTCATCCACCAGCACCACTTGCAACCCCATTTACAATGCGGGAACGATCCTACAGTTGCAAATCACAATGGAATTCTGTCGACCGCACATGCACGAAAAACAGTTGAAACCCCATTTACAATGCGGAACCGATCCGAGAATGATCCGAGAATGATCCGACCACACACGAGACCGTCTCGCACCCGTCGCACCGCAGAGGTAGATCATCGAGGTTCGGGGACGGACTTTGTATGGAAAAACATAGGGTTTCGTGCATCTGCTATCTCTCAAAAACGCATTTCGTGCGAGACTTCCTCCAAAACTCCATCGGCAACTCCTCCACCAGCACCGCTTGCAATCCCATTTACAGTGAGGGAACGATCCTAGACTTGCAAATCACAATGGAATTCCATCGGCAACTCATCCACCAGCACCACTTGCAATCCCATTTACATTGCGGGAACGATCCTACAGTTGCAAATCACAATGGAATTTCTTTGCTAACTCTTTCTGTGACTAACTCTTTCCCTCACTAACTCTTTCCTTGACTAACTCTTTCCCTGACTAACTGTTTCTTTGCTAACTCTTTCTTTCACTACCTCATATATCCTGACTAACTCTTTCTTTGACTAACTCTTTCCCTCACGAACTCTTTCTTTGACTGACTCTTTCCCTCACTAACTCTTTCTTTGACTAACTCTTTCCCTCACTGACTCTTTCTTTGACTAACTCTTTCCCTGACTAACTCTTTCTTTGACTAACTCTTTTTGACTGTGACTAACTGTTTCTTTGACTAACTCTTTCTTTGACTAACTCTTTCCCTGACTAACTGTTTCTTTCTAACTCTTTCTTTGACTAACTCTTTCCCTCACTAACTCTTTCTTTGACACTAACTCTTTCCTAAACTAACTCTTTCTTTGACTAACTCTTTCCCTCACTAACTCTTTCTTTGACTGACTCTTTCCCTCACTAACTCTTTCTTTGACTAACTCTTTCTTTGACTAACTCTTTCCCTGACTAACTCTTTCTTTGACTAACTCTTTCCCTCACTAACTCTTTCTTTGACTAACTCTTTCCCTGACATCTCTTTCTTTGCTAACTCTTTCTTTGACTAACTGTTTCTTTGACTAACTCTTGACTAACTCTTTCCCTGACGAACTCTTTCTTTGCTAACTCTTTCTAACTCTTTCTTTGACTAACTCTTTCCCTGACATTCTAAAAGTCCGTAACACGGAAGTTTCTCCCCCTAAACTTCCTTTGAATAGATCTTATATTCCACATGTGTTAAATGTATTTTGCAGATGATACATGTTCTTGGAATGGTGATCCTCGAGTGACTTGGTGGTGCCAGGTGGCGAACTATGCTAGCCTGGCATGTTTGGTGTCGGGCCAACCACCTCACGACCTACAGATGGCAGATGGGCAAAGAGACACAACAAGACCATGATACCATGTTTCTGAGTATAGTTGTGGAGCGTTTTCCAGAATCAGATCAATCTGTTATTGCTTTTATTTTAGATTCACTCAGAATTCCCTCATAGAAAAAGAAGATAAGATGAACAGCTTAAGCGATGTAGCTGCTTCACCCAGGTTTGGCACCCTGGCGACATCGACCTTGCGGATGCCAGGAACACAAGAAGAAAGACCCGCACATCGACGCTCAACTGGCCATGCAGGTGAAGACCGAGGAGTCTGAGCGCTGCGCTGCCGCTGGGGGTGTGGGGGGAAATGCTGGAGGTACAGTTAGCCAGTAATTTGACATAGCTATGCAAAATAACCATACATAACCCATTTAGTTGGAAGGTTTACCTAGTGATTTTCCATATGTTGACTTACCAGAGGCTATTCGTCTCCAGAACCATGCGGCGTACTGTTTGGAAGGCTTCTTCGAAACATTTGGATAGTGAACACTGCGCAGAGAGCGAGAGAGAGAGAGAGAGAGAGAGAGGAAAAGAAGCAGATAGGGTTGTTTTAAAGATGTTTGAGGTTCACTGCATTTTTCTTTCAGCAATTTCTGATGTGATTAGCAGTGGTTGTCACACGAATGGTTTCAAAACCAACCCATGACCAGCAGCACGTCACTGGCTGGGTGCAGCACTGCAGCAGAGGAGTGATCACTGTATCCCAATTGTATCCCCATTGGTGGTAATTGGTATCCCGGATATGCCCATGAATTTCTTGGTTAGTAACAACATATCACAAGATTCAGTTATTGATTCTGCCAATACACCATTCTTTGTTGCCTCAGAAACACATCCTGTTGCCTCATGCGTACCGTATCACCAAGGCCGTTGCCTTGATCTTTTTACTGAAATCATGGAACATACTGGAACATATCCCCAAAATATGTTAAGTTGTATCCTCAGTTTGCTCTCAATATCCCCATTGTTTGATCCATGTTATGATGATATATGGTTTCTGGCAGGAGGTGTCGCATCGTGGAACCTGCGTTGCACTGGACGCGCGGACACGGGCAGGTGCGGATGGATGCGGATGCGACTGGGCAAAGTTTTTGATGGCAATTGGTTGGGGTGATACTCAGCTAGTGATGGATTCCATAGCCGTCTGATGCTGGAGCCCAAATTTAAAATGTCAGATGGGTTAATACCAAAAGCACAAAATCCACTGCCTGAAGATGCCCGAAGTGGGTTCTTCACTGGACTGGAGCACTTAGTTATTTCAAGTTTTTGGCTCAGACCTCCAGAAGGCAGCCCATAGCCTCGCCTGTGCAAGTCTCACCGCCATTTTGTGTCCCATGGGATCAGCGGCCCCAGCGGCAAGCGCATCTCCACAAATTCCCCATCAATCCCATGCCCTTCAGGACGAGAGCTTCGAGGCAGCTGAACTGGCCTTCAGACGCGTGGATCCTGAGGTCAGTCGCCTGCCAGAGCGGAGCTGGACCCTGGCACCGCCCCGTGAGCTGTGGATCTACCAACGGATGAAGGCCTACGATGCGGACGGGTGGGCAAGGCGCTTCGGAAGGAGCACTGGAGGTGGGGCTGGAATTAGCAGGACCAGGTCTTTTGGTTGGGATGCTGTAGCTGCCATCGGATGCAAGAAATGATGCAAGAATATGTGTATGAGTCCAAAATGGTCCAAAGCTATTGCACAGCAGGCTGCTTTTGCAGCACCTGTTGGCAGTTTAATGCAGTTTATCTGTTTAGAGTTTAGAGACGAATGTCGTGCCTTGGGGTGAGGTCGGGACTCTTCTACCCCGCAGGTGAGAAGGGCGAGGTCGAGGTTGGCTCTGCGGCCACGTACCATGATGATGGTGCAACTCAGCTCCCTCCCCTCAGTTGAGCTGATAGCAGCTGCTAGCACTAGCAGACTCTCGGATGAATGTCACTCTCCGTCTGAGGCCTGCGCCAGGGTGTCATGTGTTTTCATCGTGTCAGGGGAATTTCAGCCAGCTGTATCCCTGCTGAGACAGCTATCCCGAGAGGTATTTTCTATCAATCTTGCGGTCGTGTCGACAAGCATGCAATGTGTCCGGAGATCACTCATCACGTTTCTTTTGAATGCTTTCACTAAACTGGAGATGCCAAAAACATCAACGAAACATGAAATAACGTGTTCTGGCATTGTTCCCCCTGCAAAAACTGCCCTTTTTTTTGAGCGCAGTGCCATCACATCAAATCACAGGACTGGAGTGGTATCGCCAGACTTTGCGCCACTGTGGCAATCTGCAGCAAGCTAAGTTGCAGCGATTTGCGTTTCAAGATGGTCATGACATCACCTCACATGTCACCTCACATGTCAGCTGCTGTTTTTTCTATCATGGGTAGCAGGAGGTGACCTTTATACTAAACGCACAACAGATTTTGGTGTGAAATACCAGTAGGATGAACTGGAATATATGATAATATATGTGAGTGCCAATGTCTTATTATCCAAGCTATTCCTAGGTAGCAATGATGATCCTTTGGCAACGTCCTATTGGCCAAGAATGGGATGGGTTGAAACCGTTCAGCAAAGCACGGCTGCAGCCCCGAGGTCCACTGTGAGCTGCTCAGCTGCTCTGCGTTCGCAATGGGTCTTTCTTTTCCAATCATTCTTTACTGAACGCCGCGCCTCATACAGATAAGCTATGATAAGCTATTAAGCTGTAGGAAGGGCACCTAGCAGACCTAGCAGATCAAGGTCGCAAATTAAGCTTGGCCAAAACCTCCAGATGGTTCTTGATGGTTGCGTCGAAAAGACATGTTGGAATTGTTTGTAGAACTTTTCAATTTTTCTTGATCAAATATGATCAAATACTTCAGCAATGCAGGTGATGTGCGAAGGATAAAGTATAAAGGTTTTGGCCGCTGGGCCAAGTCTTTGAACGTGCTGTGGGCACCCCTACGCAGTCCCATGCTGACACCAGAATCCCCATGGAAAGTCATGGAATCCTCTAGGCAACCAAACCTGACATTGGAACATGGAAAATCACCCGTTTGTGAATGATTTGCTTGCTGTTTTTCTGCCATTGGTAGGTGGGGTTGCCGGAGGGTTATTGATTCCAATAGCTGCCAATCGACACAGCTGGAGTTAGTGTCCCCAGCATTCCGCAATGTGGAATGACATGGGGCTGTCCTTTGAACATGGCCTGAACATTATACATTATACAGGATACCTTTTTTTTAACCCAAGTGCCGATTGGATCCGAGTCCCGGTCGCTGGGCTGAAAGCTTGAGGCCGTGGACCAGGGGGGACTAGATCCCTCTCCATAATTTTCTTAGTGTCTCGTCAAAGACAACGCCATACCAACTGGGCCACGCCAAGCGCCCTATTATTCAGGATACATACGGATACGTCGCAGGACTGGTCAAACTGTTCCCCGATCTATAGCATGACAAAATACATGTCGGGAGATCCGGGTTCCCAGACAATATGTATCAATATGTAATAAGGGATATTGAAGTCAGGCTGAAACATGTTAGACATATGTATATATAGTATGATATAGTTATCATATCTCGGGCTCATGTTTATTGAAGCGTACAGTTTGATTTTTCCCGTAGCGAAGGTCCATGACTGAGGGTCATATCCGCGACCTACGGCAGCGTTATTCATCACTGGGAAGATCGTAGGGGCTTCGCAGCGGCAAATGTTCAATGTCGGAGATTTATAACGAATTACATCATTTACCGTGATTTAGGTGATTAATTGATGGTGATTAACTTTTCCAGAAAAGTTTTGACAATTGCCCATTTAGATTTTGGAATGGTGAACGTGCTCCTCGTTTCCTCAACCACACTGACACATGCACATTTTCCACATGATCTTCATTAGTTCTTCACACATCTTCACACTATTTGAGAATTTGTTCCACACTGCGATATGAGGAATTGTGTTTTTTTGACAGCATCTCAGGCTGCATCTAGTGACATTGCCAATGCCGAATGCCGAATGCCATCACAGCATAGGTGTCGGTATAAAGGCACCCTTTTGGGGGTGCTGGTGCAGTTTACTCTCTTTGTCCAAGATTCGCCCATGACATCGGACACAAAGGGCAAGCTGGGCCGTGGATTCAAGAACTTGAGCGTTGCGCAAAATGGGTGACATAGAAACACTCGGGTAGCTAACTGTGATGAAGAGAACAAGGCTCGGAAATTGGAAATGCCAACATTACTTTCGATCGGAAAATGGTGTGGGAGAAGACTTGGAGAGTTGGCCAACATTGGCCCGGCCAACCATGTCTGGGTTTAAGGCAAAGAAACACCAATGACTGCCCAAGGGTGGATGTCTATGGATGTCTATAAGATTGGCACGGCTGTGGAGCTTTCCTAAGTCATGGGGGTACCCCCAAGTCATCCATGTATATTCCCTTTGTAATAGGATGGTCCATTATAAACCATCCAGCTATTGGGGATCCCCCATTCTAGGAAACCTCTGTCTTGTGTTATATGGTTTAAACATGTTAAGCCAATATGCATCCATGCATCCATACATTCACGGTTGAACCACACGTCATTCCAGGAGCGGAAGTCGAAGATTCTCGGCGTCCAGCTCACCACATTGCTGGGATGTTCTGCTTGGCTACGAGGGGGCTAAGAGGGTACCATAGGGTACCATTTTGGAAACTGACACGTTGAACTGCTCCAGTTGGTGTTCCTCTACAGGATATGGCCACAGAAAGATCCTCTGGTTTGGGTTGGTCTCAAAATTTGGGATACCCCCAATTTCTAGCTGATAGGTGGTTTGGAACATTTTTTATTTTTCCATATATTGGGAATAGGCATCCCAACTGACTAATATTTTTCAGAGGGGTTGAAACCACCAACCAGCTAGATATTTCTGGCAATTTCAATGGTGAAAGGAAGTTTAGCATGGTTGATTTTGGGGTGCTCCCATGCCGTGGGTGGACTCCCAAATCGCTCCAAAGAACGACCAATATGATCTGACATGCTCGTGCCAAAGAACGACGAATCCAATCATCCCAAATAAGTAGTACTTTAAAACCACTGTTTTGGGGGAGCAGTTCCAGTTATAAGTTATAAGTAGTAGATCTACAAGCCATAATAATAAGTATGTATATATATATATGTATGGCCCCCACATCCCAATTCATGGGAGTTAGTTCACCATTACAAACCATTTCTAGCCATGATTTTTTGCCATACAGTAAGGCTAATATGAATTTGAATCAAACATGTTTTTTTGGTTCCCATGAAACAATATCCAGGGTTACTTACCCCCAATGCCCGCCCGAAGTACATCTGCAGATTTATCGCTTCAAGGACCTTGAGAGGCGCCTGGTCATTGCGAAGGAGCAGCTTGCCAAGTTGGAGGCGCCTGGTCATGGGAACCGAGGTGACCTGTTGGACCTGTTGGTTTATGGTTTCAAGAACTAGGAGTCATGATAGATATATGATAGATATATGATATATGATATATGACTAGCGACTTGTCGCAACAATGATTTCTGAGAGTGAACCATGGATGCCGTTGAATTTTACATTTCAAGAAACTTGCCGAGTATTGATTACGATGGATCCCGTGATCTCATCTGGCGTGCTGATTGTTGGCATTGGGCTTGGTTTATCATCCCAGCGTTACTACCAGAAGCCAGAAGTACCAGGGACTGTGACTTGTCATTGCGAGTGTGGGGGAGAGCGATCAGTGGATACAGGAACTCCATTTCGAGATTTATTCCTTGCTATTATCTTCGGTTTGGTTCTTGGATCAACTGGGGTATTAGCGATCAAATACTGGTGGTCCCTTGTGCTGTCTCAGCCACACACTCCTTCTCCTTCAAAAGGCAAAGGAAGAAAAGGGGTTTTTGGATCAACCTTGGCCCTCAGTATTCGTGAAGGATGAGCGAAGGAGACATCTACTTCCTAGACTATGGTGAGCAGGGTCCCATCTATCACGCGCGACTGCTAGCAGCCCACATTCAGGGGCATCTGTGGGTGGTGGTGACACCGGATGAGGATATATATGAAGAGCTTCTTCATGAATCTAACCGAGACCTAGTTGCTATTTACCGCGGCAATGGGGGATTGGGAGCAGCTGTTCCAGCAGAGCTGGATCCGAACAGGATCTATGGTTTTCGGCCTCTGACTGCCATCAGGTACCAAGAGCTGATGACTGAGGCTCGAGAGTACGCAGCTTCGCTACGGGTTCAGTTTGGGTTACCTCCTCCTTGACTAAGCGCAGTTGCTGCTGCGGCTGGTCTGACACCAGAAGCAGCCGCTGCTCCCTTGGATCTAGTGTGGGTTGCGGTTGAGGATGACTGTGGCTACATGCGTGGGGATGTGGTGGTAGACATTGGGGAGACCATGCCTCAAGGATCTTTGACTTTGGGCACCAACAAGGCTTTGATTCAAAAAGACTCTGGAGTTATTTGTGCCAAGTTGATAGCTCGTTCCAAGATTCACACTATGGAGGTCCAAGATCTGCGTGTTCTCCCTCTTACCCTAGATGAACAGAAATCAAGAAAGATTGACTTCTCCAAAGCAGTAGGAAAGATGAAGCAGGTCGACATGCCTGGAGGAGGTCTTCAGCTGGATGGCCCCCCCTCATCCTTATCAGTGCTGCGAGGAATGGTGTCCCGAGGACTGACACCAGTGACAGATCACGAGCACTGGGTGAGGACTCACGATGCCTTGAAGGGGGATAGATCTATCTATGAGATGGAGGTCATCACAAGGGCTATAGAGGCTTTTTGCATGGTTGACCAAGTCAATGTTCCAAACCTCAAAGGATGTGAGCTCCTGCTGCGGCGATGGCAGTTGATCCGCGAGGCTCACCGGCTGAGCCCTGGGTCTCCAGATTACTCCAGCGCCATCTTTATGGGGTGGGAATACAGAAGAGGAGAAGGGGTCAATCCAGCCTTGGCAAAGTTCGTTGCTGGGGAGCTCAGGGATCAGGCCCAGATTGCGAAGGAGTCAAGAAAGGCAAGGGAGGAGATGGCATCTCGAAAAAAGCCAGGCGGCCGAGGACAACCGGCCGCGTCGGACAAGTAGAATCTTGGCCGTGTCCAGTGCCTTGCACCGAGCACTGGAGGATTTTGAGGTGCAATTTTTTCTGGTGACTGGATTGACAACACTATCCACGAGCACTGGGAATCTCTCACCTGCAGGTGAGTGCTTGCGAATTTGTTTCTTGATTTTGGGTAGCAGCTACAGTGAGCAGCATGGAGGAGAAATGGCGAGATCTTCTACCCCTGCCATTGTTGCAACCAGATGCATGGGAGGAAGACTTCAAGTTTCCTGATAGGGGGTCCCTTTCGACTGGAGCCTATCGTCGTCAGACCCGACGGAGGGAGAACGTAGCTCGGGCCAATGCGGTGATTGAAGCAGTCAATAGTCTTGGAGGTTTTAAATCTGCCAAGCAAGGTGCACCAACCATGGTACAGCAGGAATCCTTGAGATCTATTCTCCACTCTGTTGCCCAAAAGCCGAGGTCCAATTCACATTTTTCTACGCGTGAGGCCGTGAGTGAGCTTCTGCATACCAAGGGATTCTCTAACTACGTGGAGGAGAATTCCCCTGGGACGACCGTTAGGCCATACCAACGTGATCTCGTCTCGTTGCCCGAGCCGGGGGCCTCCACAATGGACGCCCTGGACTTGATTGATGAGTTCGGGAAGGGAATTCTTCAGGCCTATGACACAGCGATGCTTCGGGACTTCAAAAATGAACTTTCCGAAGAGCATTTAGGTGAGAGTGCGTCATACATGGATGTGAGACTTAGAGGTTCAGAAGGGCTCTATCAACAATTTATTCTGGATATTTGGGAGCGGGGAATGTTGGACTTTCAAGATACCATTTCATCAACAGTCACACCATTCTTCGTTGCCAAGAAGTCTGGAAAGCTCAGGCTAGTACTAGATTGTCGTTCCGCAAATGCGCATTTTAAGCCACCTCCTGATGTTGCAATTCCTGCTGGTTATTCGTTTTCCCAGATTGAGTTAGGCCCCAGGGATGAGATGTACATTGCACAGACGGATATCAGGGACTATTTCTACGCTATTGGACTGCCTGTGTATCTTCGATTTTTTTTTGCATTTCCCAGAATTGACCTTAAAAAGATTCTTCCTCAACACCCCCTTTGTCTGAAACATCAAGGTGATTCACTGTTTCTTCATCCGGTATTGACAGTGGTTCCAATGGGTTGGTCATGGGCCATGTCTATAGCACAAAGGGTACACCAACACCAAGCTATGATTGCGGCGGAGGTCGACAGCTCTCGCGTGCTGGTCGATGGCCGGCCTGCCCCTGCGCTTTCGGACGGCCCAGTGTTGGTTCCGTATGCAGACAACCTGAATATCATTGGCACCAATGTGAGTGAAGTCCAGAAATTGAAGAACAAGATTGTCAATCACCTTCAGACGTTGGGGTTTCGTATTCATGAAGAACAAGATGCTTTGAACTATGCTGAATCTTTGGGTTTTTTCTTGGATGGCAAACTAGGAAGAGTATATCCTCGTCCCAACAAACTCAAGAAGGTTCAAGTTGTTTTGGATTGGCTGGCTACATCTCCTAGGGTTTCGGGTAGAATGATCGAAAGAGCTATAGGGCATTGCATTCACTTTAGCATGCTTCGTCGAGAACTACTCAGTGTCTTTCGAGCTGTGTATGATTTTAAAGTCGTCCACTATGAAGAGAGAGTCAAACTTTGGAGCACAGCAGCTACAGAATTTGCAATGATGTCAGCTCTACTCGACATTTGCTATGCGGACCTGCGCAGACCCTGGTCGCAGGAAATCACAGCGTCAGATGCGAGTCTCTCCGGCACCGGAGTCTGCGGCACTTGCTGGAGCCACGACGATGTGGCGCAGGTGAGGAGACAAAGGGAGTTGTGGAGATTCAGGGCAGAAGATGCTGCCTCAAAAGCACGTGATCATGTCAGAGGCCTTGACCCTTTTGTGGATGTCAATACGGTTTTGGAAGAGAGAGTCATGAAACAGAAAGTAGACATTTTTCAGCTCAATTTGGATTTTCAAGAAATTTCAAGAGATCTTTTGAGGGAGGAAGACTGGAAGGTTTTATTTTCTACACGCATGACACTACCTGAGCATATTACTTTTGGAAGGGCGTGGTATTGCTCAAGCACTGAGACACAAAGCGCGCAGTTCCAATCACTTTCACAAGAGGCATGTACACTTGAATGACAATCTTGGAATGGTGCTCTCTTTTGACAGGGGTAGGGCAAAAAATAAAGCGTTACTTTTTCAGTGTCGTAGAGGTGCTGCACATGCCATAGCAACTGACAGTGAGTATCACTTCAGATGGATACCATCAGAGTTCAATATTGCAGATAAACCTTCTCGTCTTCTTGAACCTTGTAGCCATGCCAGCAAGTCCCAGCAGAAAAGAACTTCCACAAGATCATCTATCCAGGCAGAGAACAAGAAACGCCCTCACGTGAGAAACACCGTGGTTGCCATTTTGAAGGCAACCACCAAGCCGTATGCCGGCCTCAAAAAGCCTCCAAAGCCTGCAGACATCAGGAAAAGAATTTCAGATCCAACAGAGCAAGGTCGCAGAACCAAGCGGCAAAAACTGATGTTGGAGCACGATGCAAGACCCCGGGTGCCCACACAGACCTTTTTGGAGCAAGCAGCTGTCTCGTGCCGAACTGCGGCCGATTACAAGTTTCGGATGGGAATCTTTCAAACTTTCTGTCGCCTACACAAGCTGTCCGTGCTGAATCTGGTTCGGTTGGACAATGCCCTTACCATTTTCCTGCAGCAATGCTTCAACGACGGGATGGACTTGAACGAGGCAACCAAATTCTTGGCAGCAGTCCTCGATTCTCGGCCAGAGGCAGCTCCCAGACATTGCCTGCCAAGGACAAGAAGGTCTCTACAAGGGTGGAAAAACTTGGATCCAGGCCGGAGTCGGCCACCCATGCCTTGGCCGGTGATTGCCAGAATGGTCCAAGACATGCTGAAGAACAATTTGGTGGTCCCAGCTATGATGGTCCTCACCATGTTTGTCACCTACTGCCGACCGATCGAAGTGATGAAGCTTCACACCACCGATCTGGTGTCGACCAAACAGTTAGGCAACATGTGGTCTCTCAATCTGAACACCTCAGAAGAGATGGAGACATCAAAGATGGGAAAGCAGGACGAAACTATGCTTCTGGACAGTCAGGAACTTCCTTGGCTGGGTCATCAGCTTCAGCTCTACCTCAGAAAGAAGGTCAGAAGTGGAGCAAAAATGTTCCCCATAGAATACTTCACCTTCCTGAAAAGCTGGAAGTCAACGCTGCGGAACATAGGACTGCCCGAGGATTGGGCTGTTCCCTACCAGTTAAGGCACTCCGGGGCTTTATGGGATCGGTTCAAAAAGTTCAGAACTCAGTTGGAGGTGAAAATGAGAGGCAGATGGGCTGCAGACAGCTCCATGGCAAGATACGAAAAGCATGCAATGCTATCTCACCGGTTCGAGCAGCTCCCGGTGGGCCTGAGAAACGAATGCCTGTGGGCTGTCAAGAACATCAAGAATCTGGTCCAAAAAAGTTTGGGGCGATGACGGCCTCAACTAAGGTATGTCTCGAGATTTTTTCTGGCACCTCTCGAGTGGCTAAAGCATTGGCTGCGAAAGGGTTTGCATCAGAAGCATTCTCTTTGGATCAGCTTGTGATATCTCCGATGTCAACGTTTTGAATTCAATCCTTGATAGAGTCTCAGCTGGAAAAATTCTGTACATCCACATTGGGTTGCCATGGCAGTCATGGTCACAGGCACGGCGAAATGATGGCCGTGGACCTGGCCCATTAAGGGATGACAACAAGTTTTTGATGGGCCTGCCTAATTTGTCAAGCAAAGATAGGCAGAAAGTTTTAGTCGGCAATTTGTTGTTGCGTCATTCCATTCGCATTATCCGAGCTTGCCAACAGAATGGGGTCCCTTGGTCTCTGGAAAACCCCATGACTAGTCGTGTTTGGAAAGTTAGAATGGTGAAGCAGCTCAAGAACTGTCATTTTCAACGCACAGACTTCTGTCAGTGGGGTCTACCATGGAGAAAATCCACTTATTTTTTGCTCTCAGATGCCCTGCAGCCTCAGTTTCGCGTGTGTTCCGGCACACACAGCCGTTGTTCACAGTCGCTGGCGCCTCATGTGTTGCTTCAAGGGACTCAGAACGGACAGTTTCTCACAAAGATTGCAGAACCTTACCCTTTTCCGCTTGTGAATGCTCTAGTCAAAGCAATCTCCATAGCAATTACATAGCAGACTCCGAAGTCGGGGATGGTGTGTGATACATTCATGCCTTTGCTGTGGTCGAAATTTCCTTGTCGGAACCTCCGACACATAGT